CCTGGCGAGCCCGGATCACCTCCGTCAGCACCCACATTTGCTACACCTCTGTCGACACCTTCTCCGGGTCAGGGAGCTCCTGGAAAGAAGTGGGCACAACGCTGGAGCGGGGATATGGCCCGGATGGGCTGGATCGCCCCGGGCTCGGGCACCGGCGGGGGCGGCTGGCTTTGCGTGCCCCCCCCCCCCCGAGAGCCGGGCACTATCACGATGGTGCCCACGCTCCCGACCTGCTGGTGGTTTCCCAACGCAGGGTGAGCAGGGCCCCACTCTAGGAAAACAGTCAGCTGGGGAAATGGGTGACCCTGAGCCCCGGCACCAGTAGCCCGTCTCTCCTGGCAGGCGTCCAGGGCGAGTACAGAAAGCAGATCGCTGGCTAATGATTAAAAAACTAATCGCACAGTCCAGAGTTTCCCAACAGCCTCCCTCTGCGACGCTCACCAGACCTCGCGACAGAAACCCAGCTGCAGACGCCAGTCCCCCCAGGGACCTTTAGCCAGGCGGGACTCGCAGGCTCAGCAGCAGCTCTCCAGGCCAGGGCAAAGCTCTGCGCCGCTTCTCCCCTGCCCAGCCCTGCCCACGGCGCCGGGCCGCTGGTGGGTGCCTCGTGGTGATGCTGGGAACAACCAAGCCCAGAGCAACCCCCAGCATCTCCCTCGGGCTACCCCTTGCCAAGGGGGATGCGATCCAAGCGATCGGCAAGGGACCGGGGTGTCCTCCCCAGCCTGCTGGACAGCCGGGCACGGACCAGAGCTCCGACACCTGCCAGGGCTGGCAGAAGCCTTGCCGCCACGGCGGTGCGAGCTCCGTAGCACCGAAGCCTGGCGGCAGAACTGCCCCGGAGGCACTGGGGCACGTGGCGCTGCTCCCGGCCCAGAGCCTGCTCCTACAGGCAACACGAGTGGCTGATTCAGCAGGTTTCCGTGGGCGAGCCAGCTGCCCGCCCCTGCCATGCTCTGCCTGGACTTTGGGCCGGGCAGATGCGGCTCGCAAGCTGTAAACATGCGCCGTGGCTGTGATCTCCCTCTGCCCACGTGCCGCCCCAGCTGGGCAACACGCTCCGCAGGGCACACCCTCTGCAAAGCACCGGGGACCAGCCAGGCCACCCCGTCCCCACATGTCCCGCCAGCCAGCTGAGCAATGCTGCGCACCAACCGCTCCGACGAGGACGTTCCTGTCCCCAGACTAGAGGGCAGGTAGACTTAAGTGTCACCTCAAATCGCACATCCCCTTGGAGACGTTTTTCTTCTGAACGCTGCAAACTACTTCCAGCACAAGGCGGGGCATTTCAGGGCTCCACAGCTGTTCCTGGTGGGAGCCTGGAGCCGATGGGGCAGGGATGGGGCCGGCAGCCTCACAACTGACGTTCGTGCCCATGGCTGGCACCCCACCCAGGTCCCTCCTTCCCCGTAATACCTCAGCAGGGACTACTCACCCCGTGCAGGCTGGCTGGCTGCTCCAGAGGGGTCAGCTGGGAGAGCCAGGAGGGGAAATCCTTCTGGGGACTCTGAAATAGATCCAGAGGGTCACACAAGGGGTGTCCCCAGTCCCACCTCCATCCCTCACACCATGCAGCATGCCGCAGTTTGGAGCCCACCCGTATTTATATTGGCATGGGTACAAGTATCCCTCTACCATTACTAAAGGGAATTTTGTGTTTAGGGTGGGTGTTTGCAACCCCCAGTTTGCTGCAGCAACCTCCAGCTACATCCCACTGCTCAGACAAACACCCACCTCCAAAACGGGCAGGGCTGGGGCTGGCTGCAGCAGTCCCTCCCCCGGCCCCCAGCGCACAAGCACCCCAGCGAGGGACAAGGACTCGGACCCACACCCCTGTCTCCTCTGGAGGGAGCCTGAAGCCCCCGGAGCTGCAGGGAGCAATGCCAGGCGCAGGGCTGGGGACAGTGGCCTGTCCTGGACCCCCTGCCTGCACCTGGCAGGGAGGCCAGCACCGGCACCCGCTCACCTTCTGTCCGGGGGGGAAGATCTGCAGCTCCTCGATGGTGAAGTGGAGCCAGACGGGGGAGGGCTGCCGCAGGATGAACCGCACCGCCGTCACCTGGTCCACGTCGCACAGCATCTGAGGGGGCAAGGATGGGGGGAGCCATCACTGCCGGGGGTACAGCAGGGGCTGGCCAGGCCGGCACTGCTCCGGGGCAGCTTTTGGGATTTGCTCCAAAAAAACCCCAACCCACCCCAGCTGGAAGGA